GTGTAGGGTCTAGCTGTCATGAATTCACGTGCAGGAATCTGAGCCTAATGCTATATTACACTGGAAATGGGAAATCAGAAATCTTGAATTCTGCGTCATGATCAGCCCCTCAAGTGGAACTTGCCCCTTACAAAAGCCTGAGAAGTCCCACCAACCCCAACTGCGTGATTCAAGCAGGATAAATGGCAGTAAAGCTGCAGAAGTTGTATTTGTGACTCTTTAATTCAGCGAGGCACAGAGAACCGACCAGGCTGCAGCATTGCATTGTGCTCCAGGTATTGTTAGTGATGGCTCCACCTGGCTTCAGAGCAAAACAGAGCCTGTATTCGTACTCACTGGAACACAGTCACCTCGTGTGTGTGTGACAGTCATTCCCAACTCCAAGATCTGACTTCCAAGTTAAAAGGAAGGCTGCATTAATCTATGTGCTGGGATAAAGTGGACTGTAGACCTAACTGTCATGCCAGTGACAGCACACTATCGTACTCGACTGACTCCCTGATGCACCGATCGAGTATTTGAACTCACATCACGGCTCGATTCTCCTTTCTGTTCTTTCTCCGCACTGTGCAGTTTGCTCTCCGTCACCCCTGAAACACTCGGGTTACACAGATATAGTTAGCTTATTCCATCCCCCTTTTTAAATGTTCGTTGCTTGGGTTCAAGGTCAGGCTGACTGTGATTGCTAGCCAGTTTTATATATAGACTTAACACTCTATGTGGAGTGTTGTGTTCTTAATTTCATGTGTTTTTGTATCTGCTCATGTCTGGCTCAGGGAGCTGTTAAAGGACCATCCGTTCTTCTACGTACCAGAGGTGATAGACGAGCTGAGCAGCCGCCATGTTCTCACTACTGAACTCGTTCCTGGATTTCCCCTGGACAAAGCCGAGAGCCTCTCTCAGGAGCTGAAGAACGAGGTACGGATGGTTATGATTACACAAGTTAGTTTGTGCAGAGGGGCTTTCTCAACTGCAGACATTCCTTTCTTAGCTGATCCCAGTTCAGTCAACACACTAAACACCACAAAAAAAGCAAAAGCGAGTACAATCTGGCATGTGTTTCTTTTCAGCAGGTTGAATGTATACCTTTGTCTTTTCTTTCAGATCTGCCTCAACATCTTGACTCTGTGTGTCAGAGAGCTGTTCGAGTTCAGGTACATGCAGACCGACCCAAACTGGTCCAACTTCTTCTATGATCCACAGGCGCACAGGGTGAGTTTCAGTACAACCTGTTGTGTGTTGTCATGAAGTTTGATCAGCTGTAAATATAAGTAATATGGAGTTGGCAGTTAATGGGAAGTGGTAACTGCCGTGTGCTCCTCTAGGTGGCGCTGTTGGACTTTGGAGCCACGAGAGGATTTGATCAATGTTTCACTGATGTCTACATAGAGGTGAGACCAGGCAGCTGCTATATAATCATCATGAATGGTGATGATGTATGCTCTTTATGGGGCTTCACTAACTTTTTCTGTGTTGATCTTCTGACTGTGGGATGTTAATCTCAGATTATCAAGCCTTAAATGACTTTAGTAACTCTTAATGCTGCTGCATACCAAGACTTTTTGAACAATTTCTTTCATTCTCTCAACTTTGGGGGATCAGTTTGGGTTTGGCGCCTTCTGTTTCATTATGACTCATCACCAGTGCCCAAAGCAAGGTGCATACAGACATGGATGAGCGGTGTGGAAGAACTTGACTGGCCTGCACAGAGTCTTGACCTCAACCTGATAAACAACCTTTGGGACGAATTAGAGTGGAGACTGTGAGCCAGG